AGCTCCCACCAACAGTCACTGCCCTTTTCTTTGAAGAGCCCTGCAATGTGGGACACTGTGTGCCTGCAGAGGCCAGAGACATGGACGATGTTCAGTATATCACGTATTTCTGTGTTTGACTATGAAAGAGACTTTGTTTGTCTGCAATATCTATGAAAATGTGACCATGCATGTATTATCTGTGCGTATCCAAGCATGGGTACAAGCATGCAAGTGTCTGCATGTTGTGCATCAGCTTACTTGTTGATCAGAGCCTCTCCAGTCTCTCTGTGGTAGAAGACTGGGATTGGGACGCCCCAGCTTCGCTGTCTAGAGATGCACCAGTATGTCCGTCTGTCCAGCATGGCCAGCAGGCTGCCTCTCGCCGACTCTGGCAAAACATGCACCTTCTGCAGTGCCTCCTGGAAAAACACACACACACAAACAATGGATCGTTTTTCCTTGGAAACTAACTGTAAATATGAAATAACATCCTTGAAACATAAATCACAACCCCTCCTGGAAAAGCAAAATGCATCAATGTCTGTGCACCAGGAACAGGCTGTGTCTTCTCCCAGCATATAGAAAAGGAGCTCTTCCAGCTTTACCTTGGCCTTGTCTTTAAGTGAGGCTGTGCTGATAAACCACTGTTTACTGGGCCTGATGACGACAGGCTGCTTTGTTCTCCAGTCATATGGGTAACTGTGGACACACTGCTCCTCCTTCACCAGAGCCCCACACTCCTTCAGCATGGAAATCACTAACACACACACACACACACACACACACACACACACAAAAGAGGAAAAAACAAAAGTCAACATGTGCTACGTAATGTAATTCTATTATGTTCCCTTTTCATTCATATCTATCCTGTACCTTTGTCAGTGCCTTCTGTCATCACAGACAGATTCTGTAGCTCAGGTCCGGCCAGTTCAGTGAACTTGCCGTCCTCATCCACCATACACTCCTATGGTGGAAGAAAAACATACAGTTACTTAGAGACACAATACATGTCCTGTCAAACAATGTTTAGCTTTTGTCCTTGATAAATACCTGAAACAGTTTATATATAAACTTATCATTTCCACAATGAATTTTATGGTCATCTTGCAAATATGTCTGGGGTATGTTGTGAACTATAAAAAAAACAAAAAAACAGTCTTCCATGGCACAAACAAGCAGCTTTCTTGATTCCAGAAACCAGAACATACCACAGACAGTTTAAACTGTGAAGCCACACTGTAATCGTCCATGCCGTGAGCTGGTGCTGTGTGGACCAATCCTGTTCCTTTTGCCATAGTCACATGATTGGCCGGCAATAGCGGCACTTCCTTGTCAGGAATTGTGGGATGTTTGCAGATCCCACCCTCAAGTTGAGAGCCTTGGAAGAAGGAGGAGGACAGGGGACCTTAGCATGGCTGTGTTTGAAACTAACAAGACTGCTGTGCGTTTGTGGCAGGATTACCTGTGAAGGTGCCTACACTCTCCAGCTCCGTGCCCAGCAGTGCTGCCATGCAGGCCGTGCGCTCCGCGGCCAATAAGAGCAGCTGAGAGTTGTCTGCTCTCTTCACCACCGAGTACCTGCAAACAGGAAACAAAGCCCTTACTAAAGGCATAAACGAGTTAACTGCAGAAAAATCAGTGTTAGTGTTTACAACAGCCGATAAATGACAATTAACGAAACAGAGAGACGGATCCTTCGATCGTGTTACGAGTGTCGTCAATGGCTACTTTTCTCCACCGAGGGCACTATGCAACTCCCACAACACATTCCACCACAAACTTCGGCAATCAGCTGACATCATCAGCTGTACTTTGGTTTAAAGTACTATTTAGAAGTTTATTTTTAAACTGCATTTTCTCTCTCGTGTTATAACTATAACTACTGTTTCTGAAAAGAAGAAGAAGAAAAAAAAAAAGAATAATCGACCGATATATCGGAATATAAATCATTTTAACATTTGTAATCTGTATCGGTCAACACAAATTCCATATTGGTTCACACTGGCCATTAATAAAATCTCCATGAGAGATTGGGTCTCCTCTGACCTCCGTATCTGAGTGATGGGGAATCCTTCTATACAAAAAAGCTAATTTCAGACAAGACAAGAAAACAAGAAGATTAAGCTGGTTCTCCACTGCATTACATGTTCATTTTTCCATTTTAAATTCTCTTTTTAAAGTCTCCCCACTATTTCTCAGCTCCTAGTAATCCTTCATACAAATGAGCCATGGGACAGAAAACCCAGAGGCTGCTGGGAAATGTGGTTTAGGTTTCAGGGACACCAATAAACACCACTCACGGAAGAAAATGGCAGTAATCAGTAATTGTGTTAGAATGATTAAATTTTTATTTTTGCTTGAAATTATTACTCACTACTGCATAAAATTAATCTGCAAAAATTTAGATATAGATTGCTCATTTAAGGATTTTTTAAAGCACAAATTTTAAATGTAATTTTAATGACGACTTACTGGGCGTTGGGCATGTAGCAGACAGCCTGGTTGGCAGGAATGGTCCAAGGCTGGGTGGTCCACACCAATCCAGAGACACTTTCCAGACCTGCTGAGGCACACAAACCATACACCGTGTAGAGATGTCCCACCCAGAATAATTATATTTTAAAAAGCTCTGAATTAGCCGTATGTGCTTGGGTGTTTCTAATACCTGCTTCTGAGGCTATCTTAGACGGCAGTGTGATTAAGGGGAATGTGGCATAGACGGCTCTGCTCACATGCTCAGGGTTGTACTCTAACTCTGCCTCTGCTAGGGCCGTTCTGTAGAGGCACAGATAGGATTCAAGCATACAGTAGCAACGGTATTATCTATTGATCTCAAATAGAATGGATTCAAATACTGATGACTCCATGCAGCAATAAACAATTAACTCAGTACCTTGATGAAGGAGACCAGAAGACTGGCTTGTAGTCGTTATAGATGAGACCCTGAAGAACGACAAAGTGGAATATAAATGCTAGATTGTCTAGAGAAAAACTAATAAAATCAAAAGTGTTCTCATTGGCCACCTTGCTGTGCATCTCCTGGAAGACAGTCAGCTGAGCGGCCTCATAGGACCCATCATACGTGTAGTAGCACTGGTCCCAGTCAGCCATTATGCCCCAGCGCTGGAAAGCAGCCTTCTGACGAGCAATGGCCCCCTCTGCAAACTCTCGTGCTAGATAGGATGAAAACAACACATTACAGCAGCTTTAAATGTAACTGGCCTTATTGTTCATCCAGCTTTCTGTCCGTCTTTACCCTTCTGTCTGATCTGAAGCGGACTAAGGCCGCTGGTCCCCAACTCCCCCAGAGCCTTCAGCTCGATAGGCAGGCCATGGCAGTCCCAGCCTGGGATGTAGTGGACCTGCCGCCCCCTCAGCATCTCAAAACGGTTACGGATATCTTTCAGGATCTAGATCAAACAGGACACAGCAAAGTGACTCATTATTTTGGATGTTTGAACCACCAGGAAGCTTCTAACAGAGACTAAATCCTGCAGTGCTGCAAGTGTCTGCAGAAGCCACATAATAATCAATGATTACTCAATGTTACTTGTAATAATACACCATAACAATAGGGATTAGCTGAAACATGACAAGCAGACGGTTAACTGATCACCTTATTGAGTGCATGCCCTACATGAGGGTCTCCATTGGCATAGGGGGGTCCATCATGAAGACAGAACTCCTTCTTGGCCTTCCTCTCTCTCTGCCAGGAGTACACATCTGCAAATCCACACTCCTGCAAAAGTAAGAGAGTAAAATGGCAAAAAGAAAGCATAATTAAATTGGAGCTAACGTTATCTGTAGCAGTGCTTAACCATCAAGATACTGTAACTTAACGTTAGCAGATTTGTGTTGGGCAAATGGAAGTATTATAATGAGGGGGAAGGGGGAAATAATTGCCTCTCAAAGCATCTGATGCATGCCGAATTGAAGACGGAACCATAAATAAATGGAGACGACCTTAGGTCATGTGCTAAAATGTGTGCCCAGCTGTCAAGGAGAAGGAGGAAATTAACTTGACACATTTTTCAATGAAGGGTCGTCCACCTCTATGCTTCGTCGTACCTGTTGTATCTCGAGTTCTCGGTCCAGCAGTTTCTGTCCGGTCAGTTTCATTGGGAAGTCAGTCCGGGGAAGGAGCACCGTGTCTCGGTACAGGCCCTGAGCAGAGCCCGTCTCTGCGGGCTGAGCGCTGCCGTCCCCCGCACCGACACCCTGCCAGCGGCTGGAGCTGAAGGAGAGAGCCCGGTGGAGGAGGCCGCCTCCCCGGTGTGACCTCCGTCCCCATCTCGCTAGCGTCTGGCTCACTGCCGAAACTCGGCACAGCAGCATGGAGAGGCGAGGTAGCGGTGCGGCCAAGCAACACCACGAAAGCTCAAAATTGTTGGGCTGTTTGGGAGTTTTGACAGTGTGAACTTCTCGTGTTGTTATATCGCGCCCTTCTTGCAACGCTGTGTTTCTCGGGAAGAAATTGAAGAGGGGACAACTACGGAAACCCAGCTGGGTCAATAGTAAACCAATCAGTGGCGATCTCGCACGTCTTATAATGTCACTGATTCTGCAAGCCTCAGATCTTGCGACCGGGAGTTCCAAAGCTGAGGGGCCCCTAATGCAAATTTCTGCTCACACTAATTATGTAGCCTACTCATAACAAACACTGCTGTCTGTTTAGATTGTTTATTATTTTGGTAGTCTTTAGCCTATTATCAATTCCGACTTGACACTTGCGGAGTTGACATGTTTATTGACAATATTTAGTTTTCTCACTGCCTGCAAGTGGTCACAATGAGTAATTACAATTTAAGCCACAGTTGCAGATGTTTTCATTTGCTTATGAATAAATCTTAATAAGTCTTGGCAGGCTTCTGAGATGCCTTCGTCAATATGAATAAAGTAGAAAGTAGTTCATGTGCCCTAAGCGTGCAGTCAATATTTCTGCCACCCGGACGCCTTGTGCTGCAGCAGGTGCAGATGATCGGCTGATGATGTCACCTGGGGTATAAAACGCACGGCTGCTTGTCCCGTTTCATTCACTCCTTCATCACCCAGAGGACTAGAACAGAGCAACGAGCCAGCCTTTCTGCGCGCCAAGATGAATACGATGTTTCTAGTTAAACTGGGCGTTCTCCTGCTGGCTGTGTGTCTCATGTCATTACAGGTTAGTTGTGTGCCTCCTGGCATAATTTTTCTTTAAATTGAATGGGATTTAAACTTAAACTAACTGGCGCTGGAAGATCATTTTCTCATTTACCTGGATAGCAGCACTAATGGCACACAGGTGGTCTTAATTTTCTATAGAAAATGTTTCAGTTTCAAACTAAAAGTGGTCTTTAAGTGATCAGATTAATGAACAGCATTACAGGTAGCCTACAGGCGGACTATAGTCCAACTTAACAACGCAGGTTCAGTTGCCTATACTGAATGGATGAGGGTTTATAATGTAACCGGAATCATTTGCATAACTTAAAACAAACGGAACCCCTTCGGTGTTTAATGATCTCTGGGGAAATGTAGCCTTCAACTTTCAAGAAAATGGCTTTGAGCCCAAAGCTCACTGAAGACATGTCTCGTGGGGGGGGTTGTTGTTTTGGGTTAAACTTCTAATTAGGCCACACAATTTAACCTTTAAAATGTGGTTTGTGGCTTCTTTTTTTTTTTTGCAGGTGGCCCAGGCCAATAACTCGACAACCAACACGACCAATAACGGCTGCGGTAGGACCGACGCCTCCGCCCTTCTTCTCCCGCTGGCACTTGCCGCCTCTGTCCTCTACGGCTGGTCCTAATGACCGGACTGATGGCTCCTGACACACACCGCCAATACGGCTGGACTAGCTCACAAATTTAAAAATCCTTACCCCGAAAACACACTTCTGGATTTCCTGCATCTTCTATTAAATTCGCTCCTTTCTCGTGTGAGTGTCCGGACTTAAACTCACCAACCGGGGACTCGCACTGCAGTCCGCTCTCTCTGCTGAGGCGCTCTACGGGAGATGGCGTCTACAACTGGCTTGCCCACTGAATCTGCTTATGAGCCTACCAGCCATCATTGGCCCTGAAGTGATTGTAAACAATTTAGAAACGTTTTGTATTCTGAAAATGTGACGATTAGTGCTTTTTGATCTTGAATGTGTAATAAAGCTTTAGTGACAAAATACTATTGTGTGAGATTTTCTTTGGCAGGTGCCATGAGGCTGGCTTGCATGTTGAGACAAATGCTAAAACCTAAAGCTTATCTGCCTACATTGTGGTAAAATTTGGTAACCTATAGGCTACGGATTTTTGTAGCACCTTTAGAAAGACCTGTGGCAAATAGTCAGTCTGTAGGCTATACTGCTGCAGCTGGATTATCCGGCTCTGTCAATTCTAAACTGAGTTGAGGAGAAACTGTTCTCATGTAGAACGCTAATAACCCATCTTCAGATGGATGCTGCTTATGTTACACTTTCATTGAAAACGATACATTTTAAAATCAAGGCCACAACAGTAATTGGTATAATAGGCTACCATTTCCTGAAATGCAACCCCCTTAATGTTGACTTCAAGCATCACTACAGTTAAGTAAACTAAAGAGTATCTGAATACCTTAACTCTGTTACAACATACCTTTTAGGAAGAGGAACTCACACCTCCCAGGCATCCAGTGATTATGGAATATAATGCACTTTGCACCTTCTAATGTGATTCCCTTCTGCATCAATGCATGTGGGGATGTCTTCCCCTCTTGTCTAACCACCTTTTAAATGTGGTACACACTCACATCAGTGTTAATTCATTTAGAAAGCCCTGGGCTTAAGCTCCCATTTCATGACATTTCTGTTCATGTTCAAAACTGTCTGCACATTCTAAATCCATCCCACATGTGTTCTGACATTTCAACAAAGTTTCAGCCTTATTACGAGAGTTGTAATTTAATGAGTATTGTTTGAAAATACCTGCCCTATAGGCTTACTCTACTGTGAATTATGTTTCTCTGCTGATATTGAAGCTAGTAGTCCAAACTGTGACTAGACCCTGAACGACGACAGTGGTTTACATTTACATTTTTTTGTCAAAGTTAGGGACAATGTAGTAGTTGCTGGATATTGACTTGTCCCTATCTACTTCCACGCCCTTGCTCACCACACAAGGAGGATGTGAGTGCTAGATGGATAAAAATACTTGAATGAGGAATTAATAAATGAAAGGCTGGTGAGCCAGGCCTCCTTCAACCAGTGCTTTTCCATCAAAGGGCCTCTCCATCTGTGAAAGGCTGCTGGAATTCACCTGTCGCCCCACCCCCTTGATCTGTGTGTGTGAATTGCGTCCCATCCTGGTCACATGACAAAGGCTGCTTTGTCCAGCTCATCTTATCTGCTCCGAAGCTCGACTCAGATCACAACCTTCCCTCCATGAGCCGCCCCTTCTTTACAAAAATGTTTTTTTTTAAAAGATGCGGATACCACTTGGAGTGCGGCCAGGTGATCGAGAGAAGAGTTCTCCTCTAGGTGACCGCTTGAGTGTGACCACTTAAGACCCTTTAGGCCATTCTACCCATTTCCTCCCATCTACCTGAATCATAAGGAGAAACCTGAGTTCAGGTGTTTGTTCGCTGGTGGAGAACTGAGTAAGGAGGAAATGAAAGAGAGGGGAGAATGGACTGGATGTGAAAATGACAGACTACTTATTAACACTTGGATCAAACTAGAAAATAAAATACTTGGTCTGGCCCCAGATCAACAATAAATATAGTCAAAACTTTCTGTCCAAACTCCCTTTTCTTGCAAACGTCCTTCCTCTAGCCAACAAAATGATAAATAAAATGAACCATGTCAATTTAATTTGGGGAACAACCAGGGAAATTACCAAATGATAGTTAATGTACATAAAAGCAAAGAAAATGGGGTGATGGCTGTAGAGTTTGGTACCAGATTAAAAGATTTCATTAGAATGTCTCTGCTGCCATCTCCAGAGATGCTCTCTGGATTGGAGGTCGCTCCTTGTGGAGAAAGAGGAGGGGAAAAGTTAGTTTTCGCAACCATGTGTAACTTTGTATTAATCTACATTGTCTACTAGGCAGCAGGAGGGAGTTACAAAACTCAGTTTCACTATATAAATTGTTATGACATATATTATGACAAATAAATGTACCTATACCTACCTACCTAGTTAGGGGCAATTTCACTAGCAAGGAACACACAATCAACAGGTACGATGAATGATTTATTGATGATCGAAACAGAAGATGTACGAGGCTTGCAGTTGCTGAATAGACATCCAAAGCATTGTGGGGAAGCTACGATAGGAAAATCCGCCGTAGCACCTGGGCACGACGGGCCCCCTATAACCTTATGGAGAGGAAGAAGGAGATCAAGAGGCAGGACAAAGAAAGGGGTGGGTCTTTATTGCTCTTCTTTGAGACCACAGTAGCATCTGTTTTTGTTCACAAAATAAATTAATGATGGATTCCTGTTTGTATTTTATCTTTGGATGTTTTAAGCGTGAACACATACTCAGTACTAATGCTGGATTAAGGTCCATCGCTTACAGTTTTTGTTGATCACTTTGGTACTGTAAAAACAACTAAACTGAAAAGATCCTTATGTTGTGTTTTGGTGATTAAACCATTTGTTCCCATGACTTTTTATGAGAAACTATTTTGAATCAACTGCGTGTGTGGTGAGAGACATTTACAATCCAAATAAATGCAAGTTTGGAGTTTTGTACATAGAGTTGTGAAATTTTATCACATACTTGCGATAACAGTACCAAAGTAATCAACAAAAACTTCTTTCATCATTGATGCAAGAAACAAATTTAAAGGATGCAACACTGAAAACTAGTCTTTTTTTGATGATCTGTTGTAGTTTTTGTACTAAAAGTGGTGAAATATTACCACATACTTGTATGAAGTCCTTTGGAGCACAGCTTAAAATGGTTTTCAAATTAAATTACAGTTTTTGTTGATGGTTTGGGACTATTATCGTAACTTTGTGGTAAGATTTCACTTGTCTTAGTGTCACGATCCCCCTAGTCTTGAACCCTTGTCCCGGGGCCTTGGTATGTGTATGCATGACTTTTATTTGTTTTCCCCTTTTGTGCAATTGCGGGATGCCTGGTGTGTTTTGGTTTTTGTGTTGTCTGTCTGTGTTCTCCCTCCCTTTCCCTGCACAGTAAGTGAGAGGAGGCGTGTCCCCAGATCTGGTTCACTCACTCACTCCAGTTCTCAAACACATTTATACTGCAAGAGTAAGACTCAATGTTACACCTGTGGAATATGGAGCATGCAGGAGACGGACAGGGGCAAGAGGAAGAGGCATTAGAGGGGTGGTGTGGTGAGGGGGAGAGGAGGATATATAGGGGAGGGGGACATAGAGGATGAGGAAGAGACAGAGAAAGACAAAGACACGGAGACCTATCAAATGAGATTGAGGCAACAATTATAGACCATGTAATAATCAACCATGGCCGAAGAATAACTGAGGCTGGTCGGAGAGTGCAGCCTAATCTGAGCACACACACAGTGTCCTCAAATGGATGTTTCTGATGATCGCTTTGCTACTATTATCGCAAGTGTGTGGTTAAATTTCACAACTCTTAGTAAAAAAGCCCAAACTCGTCACACTTGTTACACAGACCAACCCTTTTTTCAGTTTTTTGTGAAATGGCATGAGAACATTATGGTTAAATCACTAAAGCACACCATAATGTTATCTTTTCAGTTTAGTCATTTTGACTATCAGTGAATCCAATAACAAACAAGGCAGGATAGTACATTCAAATCACTATAGAAGTGAAGACAGTTAGTATGCTACTGTATTGCTAAAAGACAGATTACAAAGTTTTCACATTAATCCACTTGCATTTTATTTTATTTCCATAATATCTATCCTATATGTAATCAAGATGTCAGCAATGAAGACATCTTCTTCAATCATTGATGCAAAAAACAAACTGTTATCACAACATGTAGGTTTGTCTCATCAAATGTGACTCTGAGCCGGTCCTCTCTGACAGGGGCCCTGCCCAGGAGGGGGCTGAGCACCCAGTGCTCTCCGGTGTTGAGCACTAGAGTGGAGGAGAGGTGTCCGCCAGATTGTGCTGAATGCTGAGCTGAAATCCACAAACAGCATATGGTTACGTTATGTTTTTCTCAAGGTGTGTGAGTGCTGAGTGGAGAACAATGAGCAGAGTGATCGTAAAAGGTATTTTAACAATAGAGAAGAAAATCATAACAAACATTCTACATGTACTTTGTCTGGACATAATGTATTTCAATGTGAAACATGTCTTTCTACATGTTTTTGTTGTATTGAGTCATTGTCAGATGTACTTAGTTGTGAAAAAAGGTCCTTTTTGATGATCTGTTGTGGTGTTTGTACTAAGAGTGGTGAAATATTACCACATAGTTGTGTGAATAGTTCCATAGCGACAGAAAAAGCATGGTGTGTAAAACTGGAAGTATAACTGTAGAAAACCAGAGATGCCCTGGTCATCAAACAGATGCTAGCTGTCCTCAGAAGGAGGAGAACTTGACTCTCTGCACTTTATCACACAGCATATGACTTGTTTATTATGTGTGTTTTGTTATGTAAACTGTAAATTTGTCAAAGTGATCAGGGAACAATAAAGGACACGCCAAAGCTTTCATCACTCAGATGAACAACCTTTCTCTCAGCTCTTTTTCAAGCAGGAATCTGTGATTCAAAACAGACAAAACCATGACGGTGCAACCTCTGGTACAAGTGGTTTGACACAGCCACTTGACGGTCCATTACAAACATCTTACCTGAATTCTTCAAGCTTTAAGAGTAAGTTTTGACCCTCAGCACTGGAGATGTTGACTCAGTGGAGCCCAAAAGAACAGCCCAGAGACTGAAAAGAGATTTCACTTTAGCTTTGCTGTGGCTTCCCAGAATGATACTTAGAGCACCTGACAGCTTCAAGGAGGGTTTTTCTGTAGCTTCTAATTCTAAACCGGCTGTTCCTTTTAAATTACGTATGTGGGAGAACTGAAGAAGTGGATACATTAATGTGGCCATGCAATTAGTACATTTACTGTTTAAGAGAAGTGACTGATACAGTACATTGTTTATGACACCATGATTTGTTGTAACTGATATTACGCAACTGTAAATGTTTTCAACTATGCCAGTACATGCTAGGGATGGCAGTATC